TTATTTATTTATTCATGAGAGACACAGAAACAGAGGCAGAGACGTAGCAGAGGGAGAAGAAGGCTCCATGCAGGAAACCCAATGTGGGACTCGATCCCAGAACCCCAGGATCATGACTGGAGCCAAAGGCAGATGCTCAACCACTGTGCCACCCTGGCGACCCAGGATTAAATCTTTAATTAATTCTAACACTTATTTTTCAAACAATTTTCTTCAAAAAATTAATTTCTGAATTTTCAGAGTTAAGAAAAATGAATACTAATTATATATTATTTTTAAGTATTTCAAACCAGATCATGAAGTATGACAGATTTCCCTATTTAATAAGAATTCTAGGGTTCTTAACAAATGTCTTATGCCCACCACAATTTAAGGCCATCCATATATGATCAAAGGCAGTAAGACTTTCAGAAAGCCCTGGAACATCTAGAGAATGAGGTAATCTTCTAATATGAGCACCCACCTAGGAACACATGGCAACTCCAAGCCGAGCATGGGCAGGCAGGACAGCTGATATAAGGCCAGCAGTGCCAGTTTCCAAATCACATCCCACTACAGCAGCCAGCTGCCCTGAGAGATGAAAGGTAGGAGCAAATGAGGTTTTGATTCCTGCAGCAGTCAAGAATGGAACCCTCTGAACTAGGATGGAGTGTGAGAGGATGCTGGTGGTTAGAGACACTTTCTGACTCCCAGGTACAGAAGGCTGTAACACTGTTAGGGATGTGGCCCAAGACAGGTGTGGTGATTTTCACAAGTCACAGAGGTGCCCAACATTAATGCAAGGCTGCCCGGGACAGGAGCTGAATGTGAATACTCCCAACAACCTCGAGTTGTGCATTCTTAGTCCAGTATTTTAGATGTGAAGAAACTTAAATCACAGACAGGGGACATCGAGGCCCATTATCACACAGGTTATGGTCAGAGGAACCCACCTGCAAACTTAGGTGAGACTGACCTACCCTGGGCCTAAGCTGACTCCTCTTCCTCCATGTTGCTTTAAAAAAAAAAGAGAGAGAGGGAGCATGAACAAGGGAGGGACAGAGGAAGAGGGAAGGGAAGAGCAGACTCCCCATTGAATGGGGAGGAGAGCCCAACTTGGGGCTCCATACTTCCACCCATGACCTGGGTGGAAGTCAGATGCTTAACTGAATGAGCCACCCGGTAGCCCCCCTCCATGTTGCATTCTGCATCCAGCTGGACATGTGCATATATTTTATGCAAGTTTGAAGCATGTGGAAATCACATGCTTGGAAACACCAGATACAGAACATCTCACTTGATTCTGCCACTCCGAAACAGTGTAGACCTTTCTCTTCACAAAGTTAGGAGGGAATAATTCTTGCATGTCCCTAATTGTGGATGCTGAGGCCTCTAAGAATGCATACCATGCTAAGAGGCTTGCCTGTATTTCAAAAAAGATCCCACTTGGACTGTTTGTACACAAGTATGCTACCTTGTCAAAGTGTAACCAAACTCAAGGGATTTAATGCATGCTTAGCGTGCATTAAATTGAACACAACCCAAGGAAGTGTTAAAGAACTTTTCAATTACTTGTTACTAAATAAGTAAGAAACCAGGGCACTGTGTACCTGTAGGGTTAGTACAGGAAGCTTTTTTTTTTTTTTTTTTTTTTTTGAGAGAGAGAGAGAGAACACAAGCTGGGAGAGGAGCAGAGAGAAGGACAAGCAGACTCCTGCTGAGCATGGAGCCCGACACAGAACTTGATCCCAAGACCCTGATATCATGACCTGAGCCAAGATCAAGAGTCGGAAGCTTAGCCACCCAGGCGCCCAGCAGGCTTTTTATTCAGTGTATTAGGGTGTGGAGACAGGGAGCTTGCATATACACTAAGGAACCAACACACATTGTATTACTTAGGTACTTTGGTTCAACTGTGTCTTGGTTTGCTGTCTTGATGGAAGTAAATTACTCCCTTTGGGTTTGTTGTGTCTTTTTAAACACTAGACATTGCAGAACATCCTCCCACTCTGCTGGTCTCTCCTGATTCCCAGCCCCTTGCTGTGACCTCATATCTCACCCTTTCCCCTCATCCCTCATCTCTTTCTCTCAGGTCCCCCAACACCAGTGTCCCCTTATTGTGTCCTCACTTGGTCACATGTCTTTGAAATGCCTTGTTAACATGCTATTTGATGACATTCATTTGTTCTTTCCAAAGACCAAGACCTGCTGCCCAACATGGTGCTCCTCTGCCACCAGAGGCTAAGGCTGTACCAAACTGCCCAGACAGATAAGTGAGCAAGGGACCTATCATGTCACTTTGTACTTGCACCTGCGCAGAGTCTCCCAGTCTGGGCTGTCAAGCCTAATTCCTGTCCCCTGGGCAGTGACCCCATGGACTCCATCCTGGCTGTGTCCAATATGCACTCAGTTAACTGGCATGTCTCTGTTTTTTCAGCTGTTAGCATGGAGCAGGGGAAGAGCAGGTGTTATATGACCAGAAAGATAACCATCATGAAATATACCCAGAGCCTTTTCCCTACAAAGATATATACTACCAGGAATAAAGCTGCTAGAGCCATCTCCAGCTGGGTGAAGGACATTGCTCCCATTACATGAGACAAGATTGAATATGACCAGAAAGATAACTATCTCATGAAATATACTCAGAGCCTCTTCCTTACAAAGACATATACTACCAGGAATAAAGCTGCTAGAGCCATCTCCAGCTGGGTGAAGGACATTGCTCCCACTACAGGTCCCTCTAGCCTTCTTCTCTCACCTAAGTGAGAGAGATCGCAGGGGCGAGGGTTTCTAGCAAATACTTTGAGAATGCTGTAGCCAGGGAAGGCAGTTGGGGTCAAGGAAGAAAAAATGAAAGAAAGAAACTACGGTGGTGGAGATATGCTCCTCAGACACAGTGCTACTAAAGATTGGGATTTCATTGGAAGATTTAGTATGATCCTCTCCCCTCTCACCCTTTACACATCAGTGGAATTCCAGTGTAACAGAGGATTACAACTAAAAGAGATGCAAGACACGGACTCTCTCTGGAGAAGAACACTTACCAGAGCACAAAGTCTACAGAACAGACAAAAACTAGACCACTAGAGGAATTTGAAGCCTCTAGCACCCATAGTTACAACAAACATTAAGTACAGTCCTACTTCAATCCATATTACCAAACCTCCTGTTTACTTTTGCTCCTGTTACCAAACATATTTCTCGCTTTCAACAACAAATGACAAGGCATATCAAAAGGCAAGAAAAAACAGGCTGAGCACACACAAAGCAATCATCAGAATGACAACCAGATAGGACACAGAGGTTGGGAGTATCACACAGGATGTAAAATAACTATGATTAAGATGTTAAGGGTCCTAGTGGAAAAAAAGTAGACAAAATGCAGGAATAGGTGGATAATGTAAGCAGAGAGATGGAAACTCTAAGGTAAGATCAAAAGTTAAGGCTAGAGATAGAAAACACTAGTAGTAATGAAGAGTGCCTTCAACTGGCTCATCAGCAGGCTCAACCCAGCCAAGGAAAGAATGGATGCTCAGCACAATTCAGCACAATGCAAATGCTTATTACTATCTGTTTCACAGATGAGGACACAGGGGTTCACAGAAGTCCAACCAGGTTAGCTAGGGTCCCACCACCGGCCCCAGACAACCCCCTCCCCATACCCCCCACAACCTCCCACCGCCAGCCACCTGGCAGTGCAATCTTGTTCAGGGTGAGATCTGAATCAGGGATATGGAGCTACTCTGTGTACAGAGGACGACTTGTTGCCATTTTTATTTCATTTCCAATTCACTAAATTGTGAGTTTACCAAACACTTAGCATTTCTCTAAATAGTAGGCAATCAAGATCCTTCTAGTCTAACTAATTACACGTTATAGGGATAATTTTAAAATACGAAGTTTTAAAGAAATTAAATGTCTCCAAACATTCAAACAGCGCTTGAAATGTTAATGCCTCTAAGCTTCTGAATAAGTCACGAGATTAATATGTTAGATTTTCTTAAACTCTTTCAAAGCGAGCATCTATAGCGGAGATAGATGCATATAGAAGGAGGCAGGAATAATGAACGACCTTGACACACATTAATTCCATATTTCCTTAAAGCAGTGGGTAATATGCGGTGGGTAACATGACTGTACCACCTTATCCATGCAGATTACCGACCCTGAAAAAAACCAAATCGTCCCAGTGGAGCAACAGAGGGAAAACCTCTTCTTCTCTGCCAGCAGTCACCCGTGTGCAGAGACGGCCTTTCCTTTTGTTTTTAGGTGTGACAGACACTCAGGTTGGTCCCGAGGAAAAGACACCGAGGAATCAATATCGTGATGTGCCAACAACACCCAGACGACCCAAAGACAAGCAAGTCCGGGAAAATACATTCTGCGCGGTCCAGTTTAGTAAGGTAAACAGATGGGTTAGGGACGTCTCAGAGAACAAGTCAAACTCAAGAAAAATTTAGGCTGGGGGCTTGCAGCCCTTGGGGTAGAGGCTGCAAAAGTGATATTAACCCTTCACAGGACACAGAGAGGCCAAACCCGAGCCCAGGCCTCCAGAGGCAGCGCTGGGGTGGGCACTGCCAGGCTCGGTGCCAAAGCGCCAACCCTCGCACACGCACACACCCAGCCCGCAACGACACTAGGCTTTGTCCTTAAAGCCCCAGGCTGGGGTCGCCTCCCGGGACCTCAGCAGTTTCCGCTTCTGCGCGTCCAGCATTTAGTGTCGGCGGCCGCTTGGGTGCACGCCGGGATCCCAGGACCCCGAGCGCAGGCCCCCCAGCCGGGCGACTCCCCACCTCACGCGCGTGGGCCCACGGAAGCAGGGTCGTGCCTGCGGGAACCCATCTCCCAGAGCGCTGCGCGGAGATGCCTGACGGTCGCCAGAGGCGTGGGCAAGGGTACCGCCCGACTGGCCGCCGAGCCGGCGGAAACTACGCTTCCCAGAAGGCGCCGCGCGTGCGTCCGCAGGGCTCATGGGGCCAATGACGGCTTGCGGAGGCTGGACTTCCGGCGTCCGGGGGCTGTCACTTTGCTGCCGGGCGTGGGGCCACACCGGTGTCCGGGACTGAGGCGCGACCGACCCGGGTCGGTTTTCCAGAGGCTTGGAGACCCAAGGCGAGGGCTGCGAGGAAGGCGCGAGCGGAGGGCCGCAACGCGCACGCCGTGATCGTGGGCGACGGTCGCGTCCCCCGAGCCTGGGTTTCTCCGGGTGTAGCCTGGGACGCCCCGCAAGGCTGTGGGGCGGTGCCCAGAGTCACGTGTTCTCCGACCCCCGGGCGGCAGGGGCGGCGGCGTCCTGGGCGTCTGTGCCCTCGAACGACGGGAAGACTGAGGCCTGGAGCCGGGACGTCGCGTTGTGGGTCGCTTTCTGCGCGTCCTCAAGCAAGGGTTCTGATGGCGACCGCGGCGCTGACAGAGCCCGCACAGGTGGGTAGAGGAAGCGTAAGACCACCAACCGCCTGCTCCCTCCTCGAGGCACCCGAGCCTCGACTCAGGGAAGGACTTTACTTTGACGTTTTGTCTCCCCTCCCGGTCCGTCCTAGGCCCGGGGGCTCAGGCCAGTGGAGCGTTGCACGTGTGAGATCCCCACTTCTGGCAGCCAAAGGAGTGAGGTGTAGACGGAAGTTCCCAGCAGAGGGTCCCACACGGGCAAAAGCTGGGAGGGGAGACTGAGCCTAGGTGCTTCGGGAACTGAGCTTCCAGACGTGAGCAAGGAAGAGAAATAGCAGGCTGAGGAGTTGCGTCGGGGCCCGGGGAGGAATCGAACAGAGCCTGGACTTGCTTTAAGTTAGGATTTTTAAAGTATCCCACCGTTTCCTTGGCGGAGAAATGCGCAGAGCGGGAGTGGCCGTGTGCACGGAGCAGGCACTGCCACAGTCCGGGTAGCCGAAGACGGCACCTGCTGCAGGCACACTGGGCCAGCGGAGACGGGAAAGGGGTTGGATTCCCGTGGGTCTGAGGTCTCAGGTGTTGCGTGTGAGCCGGTGGCCCTAGTAGAACACAGTCCCAAGTTTTTTGGCCTGAGCACCCAGAGGAAAGTAGGTGCTGTAGACAGGAACGGGAATTTGAAGGGAAAGCAGGCTGCGGAGTAAGATCAGGGAGTCTGTGATGTCCCAGGGTGGAGGTATGGTGTGGATCGGGAATTGCAGATGTCTAAGGATAGGGGCCTGACATTCTGAGCCAAGGCAAGGCCTGGGAATCAAACTTAGGAAGGAATCTCGTGGATGCGGCCAGGGATGGGTAGCACTCCAGGGAGATGAAGAAAGGCTGGTAGCCCCTGGGGCTCTTGGTGGGGGATAGAGGGGTGGAGCTTGGCTAGTGGCTGAAGGCAGGGTTTTGGCCAAGGAAATGGGGGAGGGACCATAGTTTGGAGGGAGGGTGGAACCGGCTTCCTGTGTGCCCACCAGATCCTTGGGGCCCCTCCTGTAGTGACTGGAGGGGATCAGCCGGGCCAGTCATTCATGCTGAAGGAGCAGTCTTGGGATGTCAGGCAAGTTCAGCAGAAGGGGGCATCCCTACGAGCATGGGCATGTCCTGCAGGGTCCATAGCTGGGACTTGTACAATTGCTAATTCCAGGAACAGTTAAGGGTATGTCTGGGGAGGTCAGTCTGTGCAAAGGCTGGAGCATGAGTGTGCACCTGGGCCTGCCTTTGGGGTGGTAGCCATCTGAAGGTCGAGAGCTAGCTCTGCCTGCCTTGTGTAAGTGGCCAGTCAGAAGGCCGAGAAGGCATCTATGCCCTAGACAGGTAGGGTTTAGGAAAGAGGAGGGAAGTTGCATCTGCAGAGTTGCAGAGCCTGGGGAGAGGAGGGTGAGGGGGAGCAAGGTAAGCCTCTGAGGGATATTGGGAAAGATAGCCCTTGGGACAGGGAGGTGGGTCCTGGGTCGTCATCAGCCATAGCTTAGATCGTGTCCATCCTCCCCTGCCCACTGTTGTAGAGCCTGATGGCCTTTGAGGATGTGGCCGTGTACTTCTCCCAGGAGGAATGGGAGCTCCTGGATGCAGCCCAGAGGGCCTTGTACTGCCACGTGATGCTAGAGAACTTCGCACTTGTGGCTTCACTGGGTAAGGCCCTGGGTTTTCCATGGGAAGCTCTGTTGTTGCCAGCACTAACCCCTTATCTCCTGTTGGCCTATGAGCAGCCTCATACCAGCTGGCTGAGTGTCCCTGTGCCGCTGTGGCGCCTCTGTGTCCAGGCTCGGCCCCTTTCATCTGGTGCTGCCAACACGGTTCTCCTCACAGGGACCATTGAACTCTTCCTGTGAGTCTTGCCATGTGGCGTGGTTTTCTTGGTTGCACAGATGACACCATCTATACCCCATAAAGCCCTGACTTCTCCCATCTGTTGGGCGGTAGGTTGTCCTGAGCTGGGTCTAGCCCCTCACTTGCTTGTCTTTTCTTACAGGGCTCTCTGCGTCACGACCCCGGGTAGTCATGCAGCTTGAGCGTGGCGAGGAGCCCTGGGTTCTCAGTGGGACAGTTGTGATGCCAGCCAGGAATGCTCAGAGGAAGGCCAGCCCTGGTGAGTGGGGACTCAGAGGCAGTGAGCTTGGGCCCATCTGCCGCCACGCTTCTGTCCCCTTTCCCTGCCTTCCTGGAGGCTCTCATCTCCCACCTCCTGCCTGACTCTCTCCCGTCCTCCTTAAACCATCAGCCACTCCTGGAGGCTCTGGCCTTGGCTTGCCCATCAAGGGGGAGATCCCAGGGTACCCCATGCCAGGCAGTGGGCCACAGCCTTTACGAGGACAGTCTGTGGCCACACTATGGGAGAGGCAGTGGGGGGGGGGGGGCGCGGTGGCGGCACAGGCAGGGACAGGGTTTGAGAGTAGGGCCTATAGCATCAGGTAGCTATCTGTGTAAGGAACAAAAGCAGGCTTGAGGAGTCCCCTGGGACAGAAGTGAAGTACATACACTGGTATCTGGCCACTGCGTTTCTCCCCAGCTTGCACACCCAGTCCTTAGCATTCCTTTGCCTGACCCCTAGGCATGCCCCAACCATCCCCTCTGGCCAGGATGACCCAGGATCCACCATTTCTGTGCCTTCAGGTTCCCGTCATCTGGCATACGACAGGGTGGTTCCTGGAGAAGCAGCGCTGCCAGGGGCCCTCCATGATGGCTCCCGTCCAGCGCCTACAAGGGTCCTTCCCTTCACTGGCATGTGTGATCGTGGGAAAAGCCTGGAGGACTGGCAGGGCATCTCCCCTTCTCAGGAGAAAAAACCCACAGGGGTGTCTGTAATCTATTGGGAACGGCTCCTGCTGGGTCCTGGCAGTGGGGAGGCCAGTGTCAGCCTCAGGCTGACCTCTCCACTGAGGATGGCTGAGGACAGCTCACCCAGGGAGAAGGCCCTTATGAACCGCCCCGTGCCAGGCAAGCAGCTGAGGGCATGTGGGGGTCAGAAGCCATATGGGCGGGAGGCCCCTGGGAGAGCCTTCCCCAAAATTCCAGAATTTGAGGCTGGTCTCACCTCTGGGCAAGGTGGTAAGGGTACAGCTAGCCGCAAGCCTCATGGACTCCCTGCTGGCCAGGAGCCCCCGACCTGGCATCAGCTGGGAAAGGCCCTCCACACAGGCACTGGCCTCCTTTCAGGGGAGAAGCCCTTTGAATGCAGGGCATGCAACAAAGTGTTCGTGAAGAGCTCCGACCTGCTCAAGCACCTGCGCACCCACACTGGGGAGCGGCCATATGAATGTGCTCAGTGTGGCAAGGCCTTTAGCCAGACATCACACCTGACGCAGCACCAGCGCATCCACAGTGGTGAGACACCCTATGCATGCCCAGCCTGTGGTAAGGCCTTCAGGCATAGCTCCTCCCTGGTGAGACACCAGCGCATACACACAGCTGAGAAGTCTTTCCGCTGCAGCGAGTGTGGCAAGGCCTTCAGCCATGGGTCCAACCTCAGCCAGCACCGCAAAATCCACGCAGGTGGGCGGCCCTACGCGTGTGCCCAGTGTGGCCGCCGCTTCTGCCGCAACTCACACCTGATCCAGCATGAGCGCATGCACACGGGTGAGAAGCCTTATACCTGTGCTCTTTGCGGTGCTGCCTTCAGCCAGGGTTCCTCGCTGTCTAATCACCAGCGTGTGCACACAGGCGAAAAGCCCTTTGCCTGTGCAGAATGTGGCCGTGCCTTCAGTCACAGCTCTAACCTCACGCAGCATCAGCTTCTGCACACGGGTGAGCGGCCCTTCCGCTGTGGGGACTGCGGGAAGGCTTTTGCCAAGGGCGCAGTGTTGCTCAGCCACCGACGCATCCACACGGGTGAGAAGCCCTTTGTATGCACACATTGCGGCCGTGCCTTCCGAGAGCGCCCAGCCCTCTTCCACCACCAGAGGATCCACACAGGAGAGAAACCTGTGCGGAAACCGCGGCGTGGGACTGGCCTGTGCCCCCAGGCCAGGCCTTCTTTGGGAGCATCATCAGAGGGTTCACTGGGGAGGGAAGCTGGGCCCACTCCCACTTCAGGTCCAGCCACAGTTTCAAAGCCTGCTGAAGCCTGAGTTCACAGCTGGTTGCTAAACACCTGTGTCTCCCACACATCCACATTTTGGAGAAGACATGGCCGTGTACCGTGGTTCCATCTGCACATGGTGATGATGTTTGCCATTTCAGCCACAGGTCATCCCAACGGTCAGGCTGCAGAAATATCAGGGGGCTGTGTGGATGCTGGGACTTTGGTAGGGCAAAGACCTGGCAGAGTGCTGTTTCATGCCTATTATGACGTGGGTACTCAGGTGAGGAGGAGGAGGGCTGGAGTGCTGGGGAGGCGGTCCTAGAAGATTCCCACGTCTGTACACCAGTGACTGCCAGGCTGACCCTCAGGATGTTCCTTCAAGACCTCACTTCATCCAAGGCCTCCTGTGAGCAGACCCAGGGGGTAGGAGGTCATGTGCTGTCTGGTGTTGGCCTTGGGCTCTAAGTCTCAGCTTCCACCTCCGGAAAAGAATGGGAGGGAAGGAGGGAGGGAGGGAGAGAGAGATTCAGGCCTACCGAGGGTATCTGCAGGACCCTGATAGGCAGGATCTTGATAAGGGCCAACATGTGCCCATTGCCACCCCTGTGAGGTGGCTGCTGTGGTTGGTACCCCATTTCTCAGATGAGGAAACTGCGGCAGAGAGAGGGGATGTGAGTTGCACACAGCAGAGCCAGGACATGGCTCCTGGCCATAGGCTCAGCATCCCGAGCTCAGCACTCTGCCCCCGTGCTCTGGCACCCATGCTCTAGTCTGCCAGTGTGAGAGCTGGGTGATTCCAGGCCTGGCTACCTGCACCTAGAACTCCCACAGACGGTGGAGCAAGTAGAGGTAGAGGGCCCTGGGTTGGGGAGAGGGAGACCAACATCAAGAATGATGGCTCTTCAGCCATGCTCTTCCATTCAGTTTCTCATCCAAGCCTCAGGATTGGCCACATCCTCTTGTTACCAAAGGCTCCCTTACAGGAGCCTTTATATCCCCACTGCCCTGAGAAGAGATGATCATAACAGGTTTGGAAGAGACCAGATGGGACTACTTGTTTCTGCAGAGTCTGGTCGACAGGTGTCCACCTGTTCTCTTGCCTCATGTGGAAAGGGGATTTGCCGTTCCCTAAGGCCATGTGTGTGCACCTTCCCATCGTGGGACACCTCCACATGGCTGGTACACTGAGTCAGATGGGTGGGGTGGGGCCCAGGTTTCTCTCTGTGGCTCTCAGCGGACCAGCGTCCATCGTGACCTGAGGCTTTACTCCCAGGGATGTTAGTGGACTCTTGGGAACAAAAAAGAAAAGACCCAAAAGTAGAAGTTGGAATGGACGTATATTGTTGAAATCCTTGCACAACACTATGGAAGTGCACAGCCTGGCCTCCCCTCCCAACCTCCAGATTATGGTTCTGGAGTGTTTAACGACACATTCTTCACAGAGCTGTGAAGTTTTGCTTCAACCAGGTCCTTTTGAGAGTCTAAAGGTTAGATACACAGCTTGCCTGTTCCCCAAATAAGGGTCTGGGACATTTATGTCTTCATGACAGCCAAAGGTTCATGGGAGTCTGCGAAGAGACTTGGGCTATGTTAGACATCATGAAGCTGCCCAAGTCTCAGGTTTTTTTTTTTTGTTCCAAGTCTCCGTTCTACTATAAGATGAGTCTTTGTAGATCCAGGCTCGGGAGCCTGAGATAAGGGGGTATCCTAGTCCCATCACCTCCAAGGTTCGCAGCCACCTGTCACACAAAATGAACACAGAAAATGATGTGCCCCGCCCCCCCCCGCATCCACCTGCCAGCACGTTCAGACTTCTCTTCCATCTCTGGAACCTCGTAAGTCCTATAATGAGGGGAGATGTGGCAGCAGTGAGAGATGTCTTGCAGGGAACTGGGTCCCCAAGATCGTTGGAGTATAGTTCCACTGAACCAGAACTTCTGGTATGGTGCAGGACCTTGAACCACTGTCCACCCCTCCTGGACTCCTCTGCTCTGACCTTGTTCCTATTCCATTTCCCCCAGATTTACTTTCAGGAGGATGACTTGAGTAGGCCACAGCCTCACTCCACACTCTGTTCAGAGACCTCTGGGGAATCCATGGGATTTGGGATGAAAGGCATCTGTCAAACACCAAGTGGGTACTCAGCAAATTATATTCAACCTTTTCTGCATCTTCAACTGAAGCTCCTGGAGTCCAGTTTCCAACCTGAGCCCTCCTGACCCTTCGACCCTCCCATCTCCCTATGTGTGAGGCATCCTGCTATCTCTCACTTCCTCCATCTGAAACCACTGCTCCCAATATCCAGGACTTCAGTGGCTCTCACCTTGATCAGCAACTATTATAGTCACCTGCCTTCATCCATGTTTTGGCCTTCGCATTGCCCTCCTCCAGTCTTCTGTGGTCATGCTGGGTCCTATCATGCTGGGCTGATTGTTCTGGTGTTAACCCTGAGCAGGGTATGCATGTGAGTTTCCCTGGGTTCCTGGAACAAGATGGACTGAACACACACCTCACTTGGTTCAGAAACCTAATGAAACTTTATGGAGGAGTGTGTTTAGAATATAAACCTGCAAGTATTAAGGATGGAGTAAGTGGTGTCAGGCAATGGCATTCTGAAGCTAGGATTGGATGGGAATGAGTGAACCTTCACTGATTTAGTGAGAGCCACATACAAAGTTGCTACTGGGGGAAGTGGAGGGTGGTCCCTGCAGGCTTATGCTTCAGAGCTCCAGAGGGCTTGAAAACCAGCAGCCTCTACCCTGAGTCTCTTTGAGTTACACACCACAGAGTTCTTTGCGACCCCTACCCTCTACCTAACAGCTCCCACAGTGACCCAGGTGTCATTACCAGTATCCGAGCTCTCCAGGCCTACAATCCCAATCTTCATATCACAGGTGCCACAGCCTACAACATCTGTAGCAGGCAGGCGGGCAAGCAAGCAATGATTTCTGCCATAGAGCACAGACCTCTTCACTGAGGATTTTTTTTTTTTAAGATTTTGTTTATTCATGAGAGAGACAGGGGCAGAGACCTAGGCAGAAGGAGAAGCAGGCTCCCTGCAGGGAGCCTGATGTGGGACTTGATCCCAGGACCCAGCGATCACGACCTGAGATAAAGACAGACCACTGAGCCGCCCAGGTGCCCTTCACTGAGGATTAATGTGGTATTCCCCTTTTCTTGGTGTACAGCTCTTAAGATGCCTGGGCAGCACCTAAAGCCCCTGACATGGGTGGGTTGCACTCCCTAGAGGTTCATTGCCCTCAAATTCTTATCTGCATTTATCCTAATTCCCAAAGAAGTAATTCCGGTTCCTGAGACAGGATTATGCTTCCCTAACATTTTGCCACTCATGACTCCACTTCTTTGTTTCCTTGGCCCACAGTCTAGAGTTCCATAACAATCAAGTAACATTTAAAGCTTCTGACAGAACATGTACTACACTTTTCTGAAACCAGCAAAAAAGCATGCTCCTTCCTACAGTTCTCACAATGCCTGGAGGGCTCTTCTGGCCCTTAAGACACTGGATTTCATCTTCCAGAGGGGTCTGATCTCTACACCCCCTTGCCACAGGACTTGCATCAGGGCTTTTGCAGGTTCATTCTGCCAAGGACATCTTTTCTCCAGTTCCTTAGCCCCATGTCCTTGTCTCACCATGATAGCACTTCCCCTTACATACTCCAGGCCATATCCACATCTCCTGACTTGGGGCCAGCCCATCAGAGGACAGAAAAAGACCTATAGATAGATTGAACCTCATCTCTGAACCTTGGAATGGCTTCAAGGCTGCTATAACCTCCAACGCTTGTGGCCTTGCTCAGACAGGCCATTCCCTGAGGCTTGTCAAGATCCTTGGTGGGGAGGCAGTGTGTGTGGGTGTGGGTGTGGGTGTGTGGAGGGTGAAGTAAGCTAGGTCCTGAATTCCTTGCTTGTACCTCTCTCTGCTGTTGGGGAAGAATTTCTTCTGCCCTTCAAGGTCTTTCTAGCTTCAATAAGAATGAAATTGACATGAGACATGTTAACAGGAGAATATCAAATTTAATTTGGTTCAGATGGGGAATGCATACAACCATAAAATTCTAAAGACAGGCAAAATAAGGCATACATATTATACTGAACTGAGATAGATAGGTCTAGGAATTTTATAGGAAAGAATGCAATTTAAAGGAAGATGAAAGAGTAAATACTTGGTAAACAAATAGTCTTTGGGCCATTCAGAAACAAGACAAGAATGTGATCAAAGAGCCCTTGCTAGATTCCTATCAACATAGTTATTTTTGGGAGAGAAAGAGCTTCTGAATTTGCTCGGGTTTTAATGCTTTTAACACAAAATGATCTTTATGCCAAAGTGACCAACCTTGGGGCTGTCTGCCCTTGGCCCCTGTACACATAGATATCTGTGTACACATCCAAGTTTATTCTCACTACTGGGCCTAGCGTCATCTCACTCTGGAGCTGGAGTTATGACCAGGCTGGGATTCATGATGACCTTTACCAGGTTTGAGGGGAAGGTGACCCTGCACAATGGGAGTGGCAGTCAGCATTGGGCACTACCACTTCAGATGTGGACTGGCCAGATGGTCAGAGTCTCCAGGTTCCATTGCACACAGCCTGGTACATGTCCATTGTCAGGGGCCGGAAGGCCTTGGCTTGGTTGTCCAACACGAACAAGGGGTCAGTAATTACGCCTACATTGAAGCCCTCACGCACCAAGCGGGACTTCACCAGTTTGAATGTGCTTGTGATCGCTAGAGTGTCCTGCAGGGGTAATAAGCATAATCTCGACTGTGGGCCCCTGTCCAAGACCTCCCATCCACCTACTTCTGTCACCCTGAGCTCACCTGGATGCGGATGAAATGGGGTGCAGCATAGGCAGGGAGCCAAGTGTGGACATGCTGGTACATCCTCTGACCATCAAAAGTCTGGCCGGGGGCCAGCTGTACCGCAGCCATGCCCACCTTGCCCTCACAACCTGGGAAGCACAACAGTCACTCAGCTCATCTACCTCACAGTGCCCATGGACGACCCTCTCACTTGGCCCATCACTGCTCACTGGCTGTGCCCCAGCAGTTCCCCCCACCTGTAATATCTGGATAACACTACTCTGCCCACAAGGCTGTCGGAAGTTTAAAATTAAGCAAATCCTCCACACCTGGTACTGACACACCATAGACGTTCACCTCCTGCAGGAAGTCCACCAGTGACAAAACGCTCTCTACCTCCCGCGTGGACACGTTCTCACCTTTCCATCTGTGGGGTTGAATCCACTGCTAGCGAGCACAGCCTTGGCTAAGGGGAGGCCCCTCTTGCCCACCAAGCCCCTCCTCCTATGAGATCTGATCGCTGGTTCTGCCCAATTTCGGCCCCTTCGGGATCTAGAAGCTACGCCCCTTGGGCCTGGAAGTCCCACTTCTTCAGCCCTCCTCCCTCAAAGGTCCAGGAAGCCCCGGCCACCAGCCCAGGACCCGACCGGAAGGTGTCCCCAAGGCGGTCGCGAAAGTAAAGGAAGCCTTCTTCGTCCATTGCCAGCACGTCACCGGTGTTGAAGTAAACGTCGCCCTTGCGCCGCACATCCCGTACCAACTTTCGTTCTGACAGCTCTCGCGCCCCGCGGTAGCCCAGGAAAGGCTGGTGGCGCAAAACCTGGGTCAACAGGAGCCCTGCCTCCCCTGGGGGTAGGAGTTGGAATTAGGGCATTAACCATGGCCAAGAACTGCACAACCCATCAGCCCCCTGCCAGAGGTTTCCAACCATGGTGGACCAACTCTTCAAACCAAAACTGCCAAAGAGACAGAGACCTAGAGATAAAGATGGGAAGAGTGAGATAGAGAGACTGGGGGACAGGAGACATTGGGGAGCCCACTATAAATAGAAAAAGGATAACAAGGGATGCACAAAGGACAGAGACAGATGGTGGTGGGAAGAAAGTGATATGGCCAAAATCAGGAAAAACGCCAGGAGAGAAGACCCTAGGAGAAGGTACTGGACAAGAGATTGATGCCTGGGAGGATATAACTACCACAAATAGAGACCCAGAGACCTAGCAGAACAAGAGATTGAGGCAGGGGATCCAGGCAGAGATGAGAGACAGAGGGTCCCAGGCAGTGGTCAGACAAGCTGAGAACAGGGTCCAGGTGAGGGCAGCAGACACCACCACAGGGCACTGACCTCAAGGCTTTGGGCAGCCTGTTCCAGCGAAGGAGCAGATGGTCCCCTGCCCTTCCCACACCCAGGGAAGGTTTCCCCGACCCTTGTACCTGGCCCCACAGGGACGCAGAATCCCCGATTGTCCCTGACAGGCTCCTCTGCCTCCGTGTCAAACTGTACAAGCTCAAAGGGGGACAGCATCTGAGTGGAGGGTGGGAAAGTGTCAGTAGAGGCCCTGTGAGCTCAGTCTTAATCGAGGGCCACTGCCCCACTCAACCCACTCACTCGAAGAAAGCAGCTCATCTTGCCCAGGGCCCCACAGCGCCCTGGATAGTTGATGAAGCCAATATTGCCTTCCGTGGAGCCGTAGATTTCCAAGATCTGAATGGGGCCAAAGCGCTGCTGGAAGGACTGCCACACATCTGCCCGAAGTCCATTGCCCATTGCCAAGCGGACTGTATGTGTCCGGTCCTCTGGTCGCTGCAGGGACATCCCAAGAACGGTGAAGAGCATGCCCTAGAACCCTTACCTATGAGGGCTTTTAGTCCTTACCTGAGGAATTACCTAGGAGGTGATAGGGAGGGGGGCATCCATACCTAAGTAATCCACCAAAGGTTCTTACTTGAGAGTAGTTATCTGGAGTCTGTTTATGGAAGTTACCTGAGGGGAAGTTACCTAGAAGCCTTAACTGGAGGGATACCTAGGGGAAACTGAGGCCTTATCTGGGGCTTACCTAGGGGAAATATCTGGGATCTTATATAGGGGTAGTACCTGGAACTGTTACCTGGAGGGGTTACCTGGGGGCCTTTACCTGAAAGTAAACTGGGGAGTGACTTAAAAGTTTCAACTTGAGGAGAGACCTGGGGTCTTACCTGGAGGTAGTTACCTGAAGCATTTTACCTGGAATCCATACCTCATTGCTGTATCTAGTGAGTTTACCCTGAGGCATCCTCTGTTCTAGGCATTTTATATTTATATATGTTTTATACTCACAAATACTCTCTTTATTATCCTAATTTTCCAAATGGGGACATTGAGACTGATAGAGGTGAAGTCATTTGCCCAAGGTAGCACTGATGATCATCATAGGAGCCATGTTTGGAAACCTTGTGTGGGATAAATTATCTGTGGATGTTGCCTAGGGTGTTTTACCTAAGGGACCCTGGTCAGGTCCTGTACCTGAATCTACCTGAAACCTTCACCTGAAATGACATCTGGGATTTCATACCTGAGGTGATCACCATGAAGCCCTAATCTTAGCACCTCACCTGTGGAGTGTTACACAGGTACCGTAGAACCTCACCCACATACAGGATCACAGTCACACCATGCTGCCGACAGTTATCCCAGAAGCGAGAAGCAGAGAACTTGGGGGCCAGGACACAGGTTGCTCCTGAAGGGGGAGAGGAAAGGGTTTCAGGTCATACTTCCATGCCACTATGATAAGTTGCTTTGATCAGCTGTGGCCCTCTGACTCATAGGGTTTGGAGTTCATCTGTGTGTCACTGACTCAGCCAGGAGTGCCCACATGAGAAAGGTGTAGGTGGGTATGGGGTTGAATCCTATCTTCAGAATATGTAACAAGCTCACTGCTTTGTACAAAGTGAGTACTGCTAAATAATCATTAATGATTATAAATGTTTTATGAATGTCTAGCTGGGCAGATGGATAGATGAATAGGTGGTGGCATAGATGGATGGGTGGGTGAGGAGGTAGGTTAGTAGATGGATGTGTGAGTTGGTGGAAGAATTGTTTTGAAGGATGGACACATGGATTAAGAAATTTTACGGGCCACTACTTATCACTCTGGAAAGTGATCCTTTCTTAGCTGATCACCTCCTCTGCGGCTGACTTTGTGAAAGGCACTCTCCCTACCTCAACCCTAATCCTCGATAAAGCCCTGCAAGCTAAATATTATCATCCCCTCACTCAAAGGGACAATTGCTCATGTGCCTGGTGAAGTAGAAAGTCTGTGTCTTCTTTGAGGCTGTATTTTTGTCAGGGGGTAAAATACAATGCCTTCTCTGTGAAAATAGATGCTGGCCCTTGAAAGTGACAATTTTGTTTGCCACCCCTAATGAAATGCCTGATTCAGGAAAGGTCTTCAATCGCTGGGTGGCTCAGCAATTGAGCACCTGCCTTCTGCTCAGGGTGTGATCCTGGGGCCCCGGGATCGAGTCCCGCATCAGGCTTCCTCTATGGAGCCTGCTTCTCCCTTTGCCTGTTTCTCTGCCTCCCTCTCTCTCTCTGTCTCTCATGAATAAATAAATAAAAATTTAAATAAAGAAATAAATAAAACTGGGGGGGGGGATTGATAGGGAGTTTTCCAATTAAACCTCCCAAATATATATTTGTCTAAACACTACATTGTACACCAGAAACTAATATAACATGTCAACTATACAAACATACATATGTACATACATACATACAGCTCCCTAATTCCTCTTAGCCTCTGTAAGGTACAAGAACAGTTATGAGCTGCCTTCAGTGTGATGTATTAGAAAATCAAAATGCAGGGATGCCTGAGTGGCTCAGTCGGTTAAGCATCTGCCTTTGGCTCTGGTCATGATCACAAGATCCTGAGATTGAGGTCTGAGTTGGGCTCCCTGCTCAGCAGGAAGTATGCTTCTCCCTCTCCTTCCCCCTGCTTGTGCTCTCTCTCTCTTTCTCAAATAAAATCTTTATTATTTTTTTTAGATTTTATATATTTATTCATGAGAGAGAGAGAGAGAGAGAGCCAGAGACACAGGCAGAGGGAGAAGCAGGCTCCATGCAGGGAGCCCAAAACGGGACTCAATCCCGGGTCTCCAGGATCACGCGCTGGGCTGAAGACAGGCGCTAAACCGCTGAGCCACCCAGGGATCTCCCATCAAATAAATAAAATCTTTATAAAAAGAATATTTAAAAATAAAAACAAAAAAATTTTGAAGGAAGTACAATACACCCCACCAAGTTTCTTGCCAACAGTACATTGAAGTGAATTCAACATCTCTAGAGGAAATTCCAGTGTAACAAGAAATGCAGGAGAAAGAGAAGCAGAGACCAAACAAGCAAGTACAGTGAGGGGACTTTAACCTTAATAAAACAATTTGACAATTGGAGGAATTTAAACATGACCTGTAGCATCAGATGGTATTAGAGCTACTATTAATTTTGTCAGGTGTGGTATCACTACTGTGACAGTTCTTAAGTCCTTATGCATTAGAGATACATACTAAATACTTACAAAAAGATACAGTATCTAGGATTTGTTCTAAAATGATTCAGAAATAAAGAAGGAGGGATCCCTGGGTGGCGCAGCAGTTTGGCGCCTGCCTTTGGCCCAGGGCACGATCCTGGAGACCCGGGATCGAATCCCACATCGGGCTCCTGGTGCATGGAGTCTGCTTCTCTCTCTGCCTCTCTCTCTCTCTCTCCTCTCTCTCTCTCTGTAACTATCATAAATAAAAATAAATAAATAAACTTAAAAAAAGAAATAAAGAAGGGAATACGTATCAAATAAGATTGGCAATGTGGTTAACAACTGTCAAGGGTGAATGAGGATATGTGAGACATCATCAAATCATTTTCTCTACTTTTGCTCTACTGTGTATGTTTGAAAGCAAAATGCTGATGGTGGCTGAAGCTAAGTGGTGGGTACCTGAAAATTCATGTAGAAATATTTAGAAATGTGTATATGTTTCAAAATTGTCACAAAAACTCAAAAAGAAAATACTGGAGCCTTCCCAGTCTGAATTGCTAGTCAGGTGTCCAGGAAAATAGCCCAGTGGGATGCTTGGTGAACACCTAACCCTCAATGACTATCCCAGCACTCATATCAGCTTGTCACCTTCTGACAACAGCAAAGCCCTTAGGGACTCTAAGTAACCAAGTCTTTGCCCAAGTAGCCCTGGGGCCTGCTGCTGTGTGTCCTTTGTCAAAGGTAACAACCTTGACATTGGATTACTTGTGGGGCCTTGTCACCCTGAAAGCCCCACCCTGATGTTGAGTCTGGAGGTCCCATGAATTGGAGGGGTCTTCAGAAAAGGGCTTACCGAGCTCCAGGCAGCTGAGGACCCCAAGGATAAGCCCCGTCACATGGTACAGAGGCAAGACTGTGTAGACCACGTCATCAGCTGTGCCCCCACACAGGGACAGCATCTTGCACATCTGCAGCAGTCGCTCATGTGTGACAATGGCCGGCTTTGGGAGCCCTGGGAAATGGAGTGGGAAGGGTGGGTGGTGAAAGGACAGCACAAGAGGGGCCAGCACATAGGAGTGGGTCTCCGTGGTCAGGTCTGCAGTGAAGGGCTTGGGGCTCTTATTAGGTGATCAAGTCTGGGTATTAGTGGGTGGGCTCAGGGAAGAACAATTGGATTTGGAGTGCAGAGGGTAAATTCCAAAGCTCAGTTGGGAGTTTCAGTGGCTGTTTACTGGGCAGAGGCAGGAATTTGGCACTGACCAGTAAAAACACATTAGGGGTCAGAGTTCAGGCAAGGTGTTGCAATCATAGGGCAGGATGGGTTTCAGAGGTCAAGTTTGAGGCACATGTCAAGCTTGGGGTCAGGGCAGCATTAGGGTTCAGAGGTTAGGGCTAGGGCTGCGGGCACCCTCACCAGTGGTCCCTGAGGTGTAGATAAACAGGGCAGGGCTTTGTGGTGTGATCCCGGCACGTAGGTCAGTGGGCACAGGGTCAGTGGGTGCAACATCAAGAGCTGCCCCCAGAGCCCCCACTCCTGGTGTTGGGGAGGACTGGCTGAGGTAGAAGCATCGGATGTTCTCTGCCTGCAGCTTGGGAAGGACCTCTTCCAGGTTCTCCTGGAGGTCTGCAGGGATAGGTCAGAAGAGAAATTGGGAAAAGGCCCACATTTGAGGTCAGGAGGGGAGCCCCGAGACCCAGATAGGGGAGAAGAGCCTATTGCAAGCAACACAGGAAGTAGCTGGCAGAGAAAAATTTACACATTCCTGTGTAAAGAGCCCTATAATTAGTATTTGTTGGCAAAAAGGATTGAAAGAGGGGTGCCGGGGATCCCCGGGTGGCTCGGCGGTTTGGCGCCTGCCTTCAACCCAGGGCATGATCCTGGAGTCCCAGGATCGAGTCCCACGTCGGGCTCCTTGCATGGAGCCTGCTTCTCCCTCTGCCTGTGTCCCTGCCTCTCTCTCTGTCTCTCATGAATAAACGAATAAAATCTTTTAAAAAGAAAAAGAAAAGAAACAGGGGTGCCTGGGTGGCTTAGTTGGTTAAGCAGCCAACTCTTGGATTCAGTTCAGGTCATGGTCTCAGAGTGCTAAGACTGAGCCCAGTGAGCACTGGATGGGGCTCCATGCTCATTGGGGAGACTGCTCAAAGATTCTCTTTCCCTCTGCTTCTGCTCCCCCCACCCCACTCACTGTCTAAAACAAATCTTAAAAGGAGGGGGATTGAAACAAACAAGGTAAAGAAAAATCTCTGGTGCCCTCAAAATTACTTTCCAGCAATTAAGTTTTGATTCTAATTGCCTGTAAAGGTAGGTGGGAAGCAAGGAGCTCCTTGCCTAGCCCCTACTAGGACACTGTGAACTGCAGTCCTCCACGTCTGTCCCTTGCTCCCTTACTCCTCTGTCTTCTACTAGCCTCTGGGGTCCTCACCTGGGTCCACCACCAGGAGCCGAGCCCCAGAGCTCAGCACAGAGTGCACCAGAGGTTCCCCCCGAGCATGCGGATTAATCCAGGCCACCGGGCAGCCCAGCTTGGCCAGCCCCAGCCACAAACCCAAGGCTGGAATGGTCTGGGAATCCAGCACCAAGAGGGCAGCTGACTCCCCGCCAAGCAAGTCCGTGAGGCCTCCCAGCTCAGCCTTCAGGGCCCATACAGCCTGGCATGCCCTGTTGTCCAGCTCCTTGAAAGTGAAGGAGCGGCTCCCTGGCCCCTTCCACACCAAGGGTGCATGGCCCGGCTGTGCTCGTGCTCGCCGTTCAAAGGAATCCACAAAAGTGTCGGGCGGTTGGTGGCTCATGCGTGCTCTGATGTGCAGGCCAAGGTGGAGGATCCTGATGATATAGGCCACATCTGCAGGCAGCCAGCGCAGCCCTGGAGGTGACCGTGCAGGCAGCAAAGTCAGCGTGAGGGCCGCAGCTGCCAGACTCAGCCAGTGGGGCATCCAGGGACAGAGCCAGGGCCGCGCCAGTATGGCTAGGCCAAGCAGCACACAGAAGATAGAATCTCCCAGGAGCCAGCGCAGTGCCAGGGCCACAGCAGCAGGCCATGCAGGCTGCTGCAGGCCATGCAGCAGCAATAGTACAAAGGCTAGTCGCAGCCAGATGCCCATCGCACCAGCACCCTCCTCAGAGAAGTGTCTACAGAGTGCTAATAACTTCTGCCAGGGACTGCCTGGCCTAGATATTTGACCCCTTAGTCCCGCCCCCCACCCTTCATCCATGGTAGCCTTGGAGCTGTTGACAGCAATGCTTCTGCCCTCAGGACTCCACCCCCAGCACTTTTTAACCCAACCTGTTTGCTTCACTGTGCCTACCTCTAGCCAAGTACATGGCTGGCACTCAGTAAATACTTTAGGGAACAAATGCAGTGCCTAAATTCAAGCTCAGTTCTAATATCCCCACCCCCACCCATGTGCTGGGTTTTGAGTTTGCCCCTCCCTCTGGCATCCATGGAGACTACCCTTGGGATTCAGGAGGCTAACCTCCCCAACCCCCAACTTGGGCAGGGCAGTCTATGCATGGTTGACCTGAAAGCCTTACCCCCTCACCTCTGGGAGACAGTCACAGATGGGGAGATCAGAGAGGTGCTGCCATTGACCTAGGAGCCCACAGGTCTTCAGCTCAAACTCCGCTCCACCTGCTCCAAATCCTTAAGATAGGGCACCCAAGGTTAGACAACACCAATGCTCTGGAAGCAGAACAGTGGCTGCTTTCTGGGCTGGCAGCTGAACTGATGCGGGGTCTTGTGACGCTGGTTCGCTACCAGGATCAGTATCTTCAGCTGCCTGCTTAGCAGCCCAAGGGTCCTGGCTGCTGCTCCTTCTTTGCCCCCTCTCCCTTGCACTTCAGAACTTCTGGCCAGGGTAGTTATCCTGGGGCTCAGATCCCCACATAGCAACCTGGCCTCAAAACTCCCTTGGACTCCCCCCAAAAGTAAGGTACTCAATCACCATGCCCATCAGAATAGGGGAGTGGAAGCCTAAAGCCCAAAGGGCCTTGAGATTCTGTCAGGAAGATCCGGGGAAAGGGGCTTCAAAATCAGCATCTTTCCCACAAATGGCTTCCCTCTTCCAGACACACCTCAAAGCTGGCCTGTACTTCTCCCCACAGAACCTAGGGCTCTAGAAGAGTCAAGTGCCAGTCATATGTGCATCCCACTCCCTCCCAGAAAATAGAGGTATGAGATGGCCAAGCAGACCATCCTGTCTCTGCCTGGGGAGCCTGGGAGATTAGGTTAGCTGCCTAGGGACGGAAACATTGATCCCCTACATCCACAGCCAGTCTATGATGGTGAAAAACGCTTGGGTCTGGGAGCTCACAGCTTCTGGGTTTGGAACCCATGGCCCACAGTACTTTATTAGAGAGTGGGAGTCCCAAGGCCCTGTCCCAGTCCATGATGGGCCCACCTGAGCCCCCTAGATGCCAGATTGAGGGAGGGGTAGTTCAGGGTGGGGAGCCAGGGATCATGCCCGGCTTGGCATGGGGCAGAGGAGCAGCTACAGAATCCACCCACTCACACAAGGAGTCAGAGCCACAAATCTTGGGCCTGGCCCAAGGGTCTGAGCAGCCAGTCTGAGTTTAGGTTGGTGATGATCCAGTTCTCAGGGGTGGTCGGGTCCCTGACCAACCCTAGCCCCAGGCTGCCACCATCAGGAGGGTCTAACCATGAGGAAGGAGAGGAGTATGAAGGGATGGACCCCTGGTCAGGTCTGAAGAAAAGAGTGGAAGCAGAGGGAAGGCCTGCGCTTCGAGGAAAGCAGGGCTTGGTGATGGGAATGTGGTCAAGGCGTCTAGGCAGGTATGAGCCGGCTCGGCAGGGATGTTACCGGTCCCGCAGTGGTTGTGGGCTAGTTCCATGGGAGGTCCCCTAACACAGAAGAGGGTGGCCTACAGCGCGGGGGCGTGGTCAATTCTGCGGTGGGTGTAGCCAGGCCCAGACCTGGATCAAGGCGCAGGGTGCGCGGCCAGGTGGCGCTCGAGCAGCGCGCGGTGTGAGAAGACTTTGCCGCAGGCGGGACAGGGCGCACGCTCAGGCCGGTGCGTGCGCATGTGCACGTTGAGAGAGCTCTTCTGCGTGAAGCGCTTGGCGCAGACAGCGCACTGGAAGGCGCGCACGCCTGTGTGCGTGACCATATGCTTCAACAGGTAGTCGCGCAGTGAGAAAGATCGCCAGCACACGGCGCATTGGTGGGGCTTCTCCCCTGTGGGCGACAGGGCATGCCGCGCACGTACGTCAGCTGGGAAGGGGCCTGAGGAGCCTTTGCTGGGCAATGACTCCCCTCTCCTTCTTGACTGCCCATCAACCCAGAATCCCCCTGTCTGTTAGGGACACTCCCTCCCCTCCCGAACCACCCCTTACTCTGGGACCTTCCTGCCCAACAGGGACCACCCCTAACATGACCCAGTATGTCACCTCGCTCAGCGGGGAGCCCTTTTCCCAGATCCTTACTGTCATACCAGGATACTATGGTTAGGGGCCTCAAACTCTAACAGGTACTCTCCCAACTGGAAATCCTGCTGGCCTGGGACATCATTGCCCATTAGGACTGACCACTGAGTTCTCCCCCCACCTCCTCGGACTTTCCTTCCCCCCACTCCTGCTATGCCCATGGAACGTTCTGAATTCTCTGATCACTGGCCACCATTCTGGGGACAGTCTGGCAAGGCCCAGCACACTTTTATGGAAGGGACAGAGACATACTTGCCCTCTTCCTACTGGAAGCCCCTGTTGCCCAGAACCTTTGTCTGCTGGCAGCTATAATGCACCTGGAGTGACAGCACAGGCTGCATTGACTCCTGGAGTCACCAGGTATTAACAAAAAACCTATCTCAGTGGCAGAGGACTGCAGGGCAGTGCCTGGGCAAGGCCTGGCACCAGGCTAAGGCTACACAAAGTTGGCAAATCTTGGCTGGTACTACCTTGGGGCCCCTGGCAGCTCTCCACAGGCTAAACACCTATGCCTGTATCCTCTCTCCTTCATCCTCAAGACAGCCAGGTGGGGATTTTAAACTGTAAATCACATCACTCTCCACCTCAGAACATTGATGCCTTCCCCACCATTCACAGTGAAATCCCAAATTTCCGGCCCTGCAGAACTCCCCACTCCACTCCCACAGAACTTCCAGCCAAATCTTTGCTTTTCCTAACAGCATCCAGTTCAGCCCTAAAAGCAGTCTTTGACATCCCATACCCCTGTCCTCCACTTGAGCCCCTAGGTAGCACCCTATACATCCTGCAACTCCCCCAGGACCTGCCAGCCACCATCTCAGCACCTAGCTTCACAATCTCCACTGGACTACCCTAGCATACTCTGTACCTCTCCCTCAGCCACTGCAGAGCTGCCTCTCAAACACATTGAGGTTTTAGGCCACCTTTCCATGGTCTTCAAGGAGCTCCCCTTCCTCCTTCTGCAGCTTCAGGGTTCCCACAATGCAGCCCCATCTCCCTTCTCTACCCCCGATCAGGCTACCTCTCTGCTGACTCTGCACGCTCTCCCTAGGCTAGTGAACTCACCCTCCCTCACATCTAGTCCCAGTCACTGGACCCACTGATAGCCAGGAGACCAGGAAGCTCCCTGAAGCACTGTTCCCCAACCTGGCTATGTACCCCTGCCAAGACTCCATCCCTCCTGACCATCCCAAGCTCCATCCTGGTGACTAAAGGCTTCACTGCCAGCTTTCCAAAAGTTCTGGGCAAGTTCCTGCTCCTTAACCCTGCCTTAGAATTCCCCCGGCATCAATAAATAGAGGTAGAGGTAGGGGATGGGTAAGAGTGCCTGCTTCTCTATGTGAAAGGGACTCCCCTCCGCCCACATCTGGAGCTCAATTTCCAAGCTCCCCTAGGGTCAGGGAAAAGCATCAGAACCTCATGAGTGTATCCACCCCACTTGCCCAGTGCCCAGTTCTCCCTCAGGCTTGAATCTCCAAAGACCAAGGGGCTCAGAGACTCATCCCAGCTCACCAGAGTGGATGAACATGTGCTTGGTGTAGTTTTTCCGCGAGCTGAACGTCTTGCGGCAGTGACTGCACTCATAGGCAGGCGGCTCGGCCGTACCTGGGGGTCGGGCAGGGGTGGCCGAGGGGGTCGTAGCGGGAGCAGCGGGAGGGGCTGGAGCCTCCCCGGGAGGTGCGCTGGGGGCCGCATCGGGCTGGAGTGCCGGGTAGAAGGCTGAGGGGAGGGCAGGAGCAGGCCCCGAGGGCGCGGGAGGAGGTTGCGCAGGCGGCCCAGGAGCACCCAGATGAAATGGGAAAAGCGAGACTGGGGGCCCCGGGGTCTTCACGCCCGGGGCACGGGATCCAGAGAGGACACAGTCAGGAGGAGCCGGGTTCTCTGTGGCACAGGCTTCCGCGGCAGTGCCATCCTCATCTTGCCAAGCGGGGACGTAGCTCTCCGGGAATACGTCTTCCGCCGCCGAAGCCCCCCTAAGGAAATCCCTCCCAGGGCCGCCGCCGTAGTCAGAGAGGCCGGCAGGTGCAGGCGGCTCCTCGCAGGCGCTGGCAGGGGCAGCGGTGAGGAAGCCGGCGGCGGCGCAGTCGGGGAAGGCAGGGGGTGCCTGGCCCTCTCCCGGGCCGCCGCCTTCGCCGTCCTCGCCGTCGGTTTCATCATCGGTCTCCTCGTCGCCATCACCGCCATCATCTGGGGGTGCCGGTAGGGAGGGGTCGACATCTGACCCCTCTGTCTTGGTGGGCGCAGTGGGCGCCGGCAGCTGCAGGCGTGCCGGCTGGCGCTGCTTGCGGCTATGCGCGGCACCGGTGTGGCCTGGAGGGCGCGCGGCAAGCAGGTGGCGCAGGCGATGTCGTAGCTGCGCAGGTGCAAGAGGTGGGGGCACGGGCGTGGGCAGGGGTGCAGGCGCCCCCGGGACCGGGGCACGGGCGCGGGCAATGATCTGTGTGCACTCGTCTATGACCGTCTGGATGCGCAGCACCGACGCGGCCGTGAGCACCTGCAGTGCTTCGCCCTGTGCCACCACAAGTGAGCCGCTGTAGAGGAACTCGACAAGCTGGCGCACTGTCTGCGCCGGCACCACCGGTGGCACGCGGATCTCGGAGTGGCCGAGAAGCAGCTTGTCCTGGAAGAAAGGCGAGCCAGCAGCCAACACACAGCGGTGTGCACGCAGTGAAGCCTCACGGATCCTCACAGTCACGTCGCAGAAGTGACCGCCCAACCGCTGCCCGTTGAGGGTCTCGAGCAGCGAGCGGGAGAAATTCTGCAGGTGTATGTGGTGCACCGCCTCTGCTGCCGCCATCTGCACTGGATGAGGAGATGTGGGTGGGGAGGTCAGCCGGGGACCCCGCCCCATTGTCCCTTGAGCCCTTATCACAGGATAAGGCCCATAGGCACATCACAACCCCAGGCTTTGGGAACCTCAGCCATCCCCAAAAGGCCCCTTGCAGTTCTGTTCCCATATGCAGGACTCCCCTCAACCCCCACTCCCAATCTCCAGGACCTCTGCAGCTCCACCTTGGAAGCCCCCAGCACACCTGTTACAAGGTTGGGAATATCAAAGATCTGCCTCCCTCTCAAGTCTTGCTTACTCCTCAGGGCAGGGTCCAGGGCTCAGCTTCCCCTATATTGCCCCCCCTTTCCCCTAACTCCAAATCCATAAACCTCCCCCAAGTCCCCTCCCAGGGGCAACTCTGTGAAGATTGCAGGGGCCCCCATACCCCATGGGCTGCACACTTTACCCACTCCCCACCCCAGCTAGCTGTGACTCCTCCCCATCTGGCTTCTTTTTGATTTCCCTTTGTCACATCCCCCAAACTTGCAGCATCTGAGGCCCAGTGGAGACCCAGGTCTGTTGGCTCAGAATTGGGTTATGTTAACTAGTGTATACAGAGGTCTTCGAGGGGCTGAGGTGGCACGAAATGACTCCTGGACTAAGCAATTCAGGGTGTGCATAGTCAGGAAGGGTTGAGAATAGGTTGGGCATTAGCCTCGCAAGTGTCCTATAAGAGAAAAATACATGGTTTCTGGCCAACCCCAGCACAGCAGATAGGGAAGAACCTCCAGCAGCCTGATTTTGGAATCTTGATATGGCCTGTAGGACACAAGGTTATGGGTGTGGCATAGAGAGGGGGCTTGTGTGGACTGTTCACGGTGTATGATTGGGAGGGCAAAGATGGAGCAGCAGCAGTCTCCAGATCAGGATGATTCTTGTGAAAACTTTGGCCTCCTAATTCCAGCATTGATCACCCTCAGCGGAAAGGGGAGGGGATCCCCCCCGCACCCCACTCTGGGACTCCAGGAATCTAAGAAGCTCTGCTACTTCCTCCCTCAAGCAGGCACCATGCTCATGAGGGCTCAGTCTTCCCTCTATCAAAGTTGGGATACCTGGCTCATCCAGCACCGAGCCCCACACACCTCCAATCTAGGGGAGGGCAGTCAGGACACAGGACACACCCTGACACTCACCCACTCCTCCACCAACCAGGCAGGGTCACACAGCCCTAGAGTGTAGCCTCTCTCTCTCTCTCTCTTTTTTTTTTTTTTGGAGTGTAGCCTCTCTTAACCTTCGGGGTCTAATGGTGTCTCACTACCCTCCCCCCCCCTCCCGTTTTCTCATGCCGGAAGCACCTCCCTTTCTCGCATGCTCCACATCTCACCCTCAGATCACTTGGCACACCTCCACTGCCCCGGTACCGCTGGGAGCGCTGGCCGAGGCTGACGGAGTCATCTCCTCGTGTTCCCCCGCCTCCCAGTCTATTCCCTGCGACAGCCAGAGGGAGCCTGTTGAGACCTGACAGATAGGGACCCTCCAGCGCTCAGAGCCCTCCACGGCGATGAATTAATTCTTGGCAATCCCTCAAACAAGCCAAGTCTTTGCACGTGCCGTTATCTATGCCACAGCCCTTTCCCTGTCTTCATTCACCCACCATCTAAAGAACTTCAAATCCGTGCCTGGGCGACTGGGGCGGAAACCCGCGCATCAACCCGGACGGCTTTAAAGCCTGCCGAAGCTGCACGGCCTTCTTGGCGCTTCAGAACAAAGGCCCACCCTCCCGGGTATGGCGCCGCTTCGCGCTGCCACGCCTTTGCCCACGCCATACACTTTGATCCAAGCACCCTTCTCACACTCTGCTCACTTGCTCGCGCCCTCCCCTGAACCGCGAGCCCCTTCTCTGATGCGCTCCGCCTGCACCCGCTGCAGACCCGGACAGCCTGTATTTCCCGCCTCCGCGCGCTTGCCAGAGCCATGCCCCCATCCTGCAGCGCCCCCTCACGTCCACAGCGTGCGCTCCAGGCCCAGCACCGGTACCCCTCCCCTGGCACGCCCCGCTGCCGGTGGGCCCCGCAGCAGGGGGATGCCCGCAAGACCCCACCTCCGGCTCCTCCTCAGGCACCAGGCCGGGACGTGGTCTTCTCTCGCTCGCCACCGACAAGGCCGCACTTTCGGGCTGCGACGCTGGCGGAACCCAAGTCCGAGGCGCTGTGGAGTTGGGGAGCACTAGGTCAGAGCACGTTTCCGGTGTTTCTATGGCGATCAGCCGCCGCTACCAGGCTGCACTTCCGGTTCTAGCAGACTCGGAACTAAAGTCACAGAGGCTCTGGCGCGGGGGCAGCGAGGAATGTCTGTGCCAGAGGACGCTTTCAGTGTCGCCTTAGGGACGGGGTAGAGAAGGGACCAGCGCTGTCCATCCGCGGGCCACGCCCCCGTGCGCTCCCCGCTGTGCTGGAGCTGGAGCGCTGCGACCCAGGCTGGAAATGCGGTCTGAAGCCCCAGAATTGTCTCGGCTGGCTCAGACTGCACTGCGACCCCAGGTGGTAGCCTTCAGCCCTTAACATGAATGAAAGCAGCAGTAGGGCTCGCCCTCTGGTCCACCGGACTCCAGCCCGGGCGTGGAGAGCAGAGACATTTCTGCAGCCTACCTCCACTCCCGCCGGTGGCTACGAGTGTAATAATGGAGCAGACACCACCCCAGGCTCTGGCTACCACCTTCCGCCCCTTCTGTCTCTAAGCCTGGGTCCAGGTAGAAGGTGGAGGTGGCCTGTCTCTATGCCCCCTACCTCCTCACACACACAGCAGGCCCACCTGCCCCAGGGCAGGAGGTGAACAAATAAATGAGTGGATATTGAACTAAGTGCCTTCTGCATGCAGCACTCTGAGAGACACCTCAGAATAAAAGAACGGCAGGGGTGAGATGGGTGGTGCGTCTGCCAGGATGGTGATGACCAGCCAGACTCCAAAGATCAGAAGTCACTTTAGGGGACAGAATATGTAGGAAGAGCTGTCCGGGCAGAGGAAACAGCCGTGGTCTTCAAGGACCTTGATGGGGTTGGCTATCCAGGACACCGTGAACCAGGCTTGATGGTGGGGCTGGAATGGTGGGCTGGCCTAGCTTTAAGCTTTGTTCATGAGGGCCAGAGGGCAGGCAGGACAACAAAAAAGTCAGAAGATTCCTGAGACCTCAGAGGACCCCATGCCTTGTTCAGTATGTGTGGAATACAACATGGGGGAAGGAGGGGTGCTGATTTAGCTTCACCTATGAGGACAAGATTAGAGTACCTGCCTCCCACCTTGGGCAGCTGTATTGTAGATGTGTTAAAGGTCAAGAGAGGAACCACTGTCCGTACTGGAAGCCTATCCTGTGGCCCATGCCCTGAGGAACCTTATTAAAACTCAAATCTAATGGCCTTAGTGTCTTTCTTCAGAATCTGGGCCCCTTCGGATGGCCTGCCCAGCCTCAGTAGCCACTCTCCAATCCTATCACTGCTCATTCTTCCTTGGTTCTACCTACCTCAAGGCTGGCTCGTGCCATTCCCTCTTTTTTGTAGCACTCTCACACATAGCTCAGCTGCCACTACCTCCTCCAGGGACTTTCCTGAATGAAGGCCTCCCTGTCTTCTATCACAGGGCCTGTAAGGGTAGGAGTCATCTGTGTTCCTCACCTTGACAGGCAGCTGCTGCTACTACTGAATCAGGAAAGGAGGTGCTAATAGCAGCTTCACCCTGTCATGGGCCTGACTACTACTGAATCAGGAAAGGAGGTGCTAACAGCAGCTTCACCCTGTCGTGGGCCTGATTCCACAGGATTCTGGGACATTGTAAGTCATAGGGGAGCTGAATTCTAAAATACCCCTTCCAAGATTCCATGCACTTTTTTTTTAAGGATTTTATTTATTCATAGGGACACAGAGAGAGAATGAGAGGCAGAGACACAGGCAGAGGGAGAAGCAGGCTCCATGCAGGGAGCCTGATTTGGTACTCCATCCAGGGTCTCCAGGATCACTCCCTGGGCTGCAGGCGGCGCTAAACCGCTGCGCCACTGGCACTGCCCATGCACTTTTTTTTTTTTTAGATTTTATTTATTCATGAGACACACACACACACACACAGAGAGAGAGAGAGAGAGAGAGAGAGAGAGAGAGAGGCAGAGACACAGAGGGAGAAGCAGACTCCATGCAGGGAGCCCGATTCGGGACTCGATCCCAGGACCCGGTATCATGCCCTGAGCTGAAAGCAAACATTCAGCTGCTGAGCCACCTAGGTGTCCCCCATATCCAGTACTTATACATAGTAACAGTACATGGCAGATATAATTAAGGTTACTAACCAGCTGACCTTAAAATGAGATGATCCTTGATTGCTTGGATAGGCCAAAGGTAATCATAGACCTTTCAAGGCAGAGGAGGGAAAAAGAGAGAATTGAAGTAGAAGGATTCCAGGGGCTTTGAAACCCCATGTGACAAGAAATAGGGGGGGGGGGCGGTCCAGAATCTGAAAATAGGCTCACATGACAGCCAGCAAGGAAAATGGGACCTCAGTCTACAACTGCACAGAACTGGAATCTGCCAACTGCCTGAATGAGCTGGGAAGCCAATTTTCCCCCAGAGTTTTCAGATAAGAGCCCAGTCCTGCCCAAAACTTGATTGCAGCCTCTGTGAGACTTAGAGCAGAGGTCACTGCCTGGATTTCTGACCAGCAGAAAAGTAAGCTAATAGATGGGTGTTGTTTTAAGCTACTGAGTTTGTGGTAATTTGTTAAGTAGCAATAGAAAATGGATTAAGCTGCCAGAGACTCAGGGTCTGCACACAGTAAGTTTCTGATAAATGCCACTGTTTTTCCATCTGATGAATACCTTCCCCTTGCCTCTCCCTTGCTGAATGCTTCATTTCTGCCTTATCAGCATCTATCAGCCACCTTGGTGGTCTTATTACCCCATCCTACAAGCAGAGGGATGCAGGGGTGAGAAAGGGAATGAACCATTCAGACACATGGCTAGAACAACCTCAGGCAGGAAGAAAGGCATTTATGGGGTTCTGAGGAGGAACAGTGGCTTTCCTAAGTTGAAGAAAGCAAGAGAATTGTGCACTGGGCTGCTATGGGGATTGTGGAGTTGGGAGAGGAGAGCGGGAGGACCACAGTCCCACCTGCATGTTTAAGGAACTATGGGGAGAGCAATGGATCCAGTGGAGCAGCAAACACAGGAGGCCGAAAGGGCAACAATGGCTGCTCAGACCTCAGCAGGGAAGGCCAGAAGGGGACAGGATAGGGGATAGGATTCAGGGTAGGAAGGAGAGGACATGGGTGGCTTCAGAGGTCTTAGTAGATGAGGGTGAGATGGAGGACTTGGTCCAGTAGGAGGCAGGAGAGAGAAACACAAATCCTGACCAGTCTCAGGCAGCAAGAGAAGTAGGAGCTACAGCCTCCAGTATCACAAACCTTGAGGAGACATCTGTTTTGCTTTCCTCTCCAAAGGCCTTATCACGGTGGTTGTGGGGGCATTTTGAGGAGTAAATAATATATCTAAGGACACAGGTTTAATAAGCCAAGTTAGGATCAATGTGGCCTGAAAATATTGGAAATTTTAGGCCAGGTCCTAGGGTCTTAGTGGCAGTAGGTGAGGAGGGGCAGGTGGCACTAGCTGACAGACCATCAAGGGAAGAACCTGTGAGATTTCAACAGTCACAGACACATGAAAGGAGAGGAAATTAAGCTACTAATTGACTGGGCCTCCTCAGCTGCCAAGAGGCAGGAAGCCCTGATCCCCCACCCCCCTCACAACCACACACACAGCTTAGGCCAGAAGTCAGAAGGCTCAGTCCCTGCTCCCAGCTCAGGGTTCCCAATCTCCCTCCACCCTCCATTACTAGCTTCTCACACAGGATCTCCTTCAGTGGCAGCCACTGCCCACAGGTAAACACTGCTCAGGTCCCACTGTCTACAAGCCCAGCCCTACCCTAATGGGGCTGGATGGTGCCAGATATGGGATGCAGGTCCCAAGATTCAAGTACATACCTCAATCTGCCAGGAGCTTCCCCTTGGCCAGGGGTCCAACACAAAGCCCATTTCTGGAAAAATGCTTCCCAGTACAAGGCAGATAGGATAGAGACAGGAAGGTCCCGGGCAAGGCAGGTAGGTACCAGCTGTGGAGGGTCTAGCCCTCCTGACAAGACTGAGAGGAAATGAGGACCCCTCTGGGGTAGGGTAAGAGTAACGACAGGATCCCATTTCTACACTGATAAGGTCTTGGAAGCTTGGGAGAGGGGTAGGGATAACCCAGCCCCAGGCCCTGGTGAAGTGTATGAAAGATGATAGGAGGGATCCCTGGGTGGCGCAGCGGTTTGGCGCCTGCCTTTGGCCCAGGGCGCGATCCTGGAGACCCGGGATCGAATCCCATATCGGGCTCCTGGTGCATGGAGCCTGCTTCTCCCTCTGCCTATGTCTCTGCCTCTCTCTCTCTCTCTGTGACTATCATAAATAAATAAATTAAAAAAAAAGAAAGATGATAGGAGCAGTAGGTCAGATAATGCAAGATGCCTACAGGACTTATCAAAAAAGAAATATCCAGACAGGGATCAAGGACTGTTGAGGAAGGGGTGGAGGGGGAAATGGACAAGGGATATTTGCAATAAGAGAGAAAATATTTAATTTGCGTTCATATGTAAAAGACCAGAACATCCTGCTAGTCCATGGACAGAGACCTGAGAAAATCACAGGGAAAATAGGAGACCTACATTGAAAGTAATAATCATCATAACACAACTACCATTGTCACTCCTCTTGGGTCCCTGCACAGGGTCCTGTACTGGTTCTTGATTTAATTTTGAAAAGTGAAAAAAACAACAAGAAACACGAAGTACAATACAGCACACCCTGGAACACTCACACCCCCAAATTAACAAATGTTCTTGTTTTGCCCGTTTTCTTTAGAGATCTATTTATTTATTTGAGAGAGAAAGAGCACGAGCCTGGGTAGCAGTAGCGGGAGAGAATGTCCAGTGGACTCCCCTCTGAGCATGGATCCCGACACAGAGCTCAATCTCATTACCCTGAGATCATGACTAGAGTCAGACACTTAACTGGCTAAGCCAACCAGGAGACCCTGTCCTTTTTTTTTTTTTCCCTACTTTTAGTACACACACACAAAAGGCAAAAAACATTTTTCTCTTTTCTTTTTT